TGAGGTGAGTGCTCCAGACAAAATGATGTGGTGAAGTCAAGGTTGGAAGATTCCTCTGACAATTCTGTTTAAGGTGTTAAGTTGCTCTGGGGAAAAGGAGGAATAAACTTTTGTGATCTTGCTGTGACTGGCTAGGTACAGTTAAGTGAATACATGAACAAGTGACTACTGTTAGTGAAGACACATACAGATAGATGCTCTTTTTATTCTCCTAATAATGTGTCTTGCTTCCAGTTTGGACCAGTCTTGTCCCCACAGGTAAAAGCAGTAGCCAAAATAGACTGATACAGATACTGTTACTTTGGGAGCACATGTTTATCGATAGGGTCAGAAAGGACAGAATAGTGAGATCACAGGAGAGAGTAATTTTCTCCTCTCCACTGGTATACCTATAAGTTTTCTTGTCAACCTTTCCTACAGTCCATTTTGACACTTGATGTGAAGAAACTATCTCACACCTGCAAACCTTCATACAACAGGTTTTTTAATAAGACTTCAAGCAAGGATGCTGTTTGTACTAATTGATTTGTGACAGGGAAGCTTTTCTTATTAGGAGCCAAAAGCCAATCCCAGATTTATTTTTACATAGGTCATTATGTAGTTGCTGAAGGATAACTTTTGATTAATGGCAATTAAAATAATTGGGACCATCTGACCCAGATGTGGTGAAAGGCTGCCCTAGCTTGCAACACCTGATCTTCCTCACTACTCTGTCCTAAACAAACATACCTTTTGACACTACCTAAAGGCATTTGCAAATCCATCTGTACTTTGGGCATGATGGTGTAACTTTTCAGGTTGTGACCTCAAGGCTAATAATTCATAGTGGTAGGCTCCATCTGGTATCTCTGGTCTTTCAGAATTGTCATTACCTTGATAGAAACATAAGCTAACATCCCGTATCTCCCGTTACCCTGAAGAACTGACCAGAATGTTCTGACCTTGTTAAAACTACAGATGTGTCTCCTTGGAGATAATGACTCAATCTTCTGAGATTACTTTTTCCATATTTTTTTTTCCTTTGTGGCTAATTGCTACTTTACTTCAATAAATACAGAAAGGGCTTTCATTTGAAAGGTTTCCTGCTTGTAATCAAGAATGCTGCTTTCCTGTAGCTTTTAAAGAAAAGAAGAAAAAAAAAAAAAGCTGAACTTGTGAAAAGCCAGTCCTTGTTTAATGCTGTGTCTCCTTAAGGCCTTTTTCAGTATCATAAACTGCTTTGCGTTTCTCCCTGTTTCAGCAGAGGATTACTTTGGTTCACATTAATTGTGACATGGTTTTCGTCTTCCAGTAAGCTATGGAACAACTGTAAAAAATGAAAACAAAGTATGATTTAAGATAAAAAGTTTTGTTACCATGCCAGTGCTGTTTTCCTTCCATGTTAGTGAAAGGGTCACAGTTGCCTTAGAAACGTGAAACTGAAAGAGACCACCTGAGTTTGAAAGTAATATCTTGTTCCTCCCAGTCCTTCTTCCACACTGCAGACTATTGAGTAGTGAAACTTTAGTGAAAGAAGTCTTGGAAAAAAGGTCAGTGAGAACAGATCCACAGAACAGATACTTTGCATTTTCATATTCTCTGAAGTGGTGACTGACACATGAACCTTTGTCCAGTTTGCTTTGATTGGTAATGCCATCATACAAGCAGATGGCAAGTTGTCTTTTGGTTCTCCCTTTTCCATCATCACTAGGAAACCAACCATGGCCTTCTTTGCTGCATAGGCTCCAAGGTGTGATGCAAATAGTTGATTTTGGATAAGGATAACAGACTCCAGGGGTATCTTAAAGTACAGGAGTGGTCTGATGTTGCACTAAAGAAAAAAAAAAGCTTATTAAACCAAAGAAAATTAGGTCTTTGTTTCTTATCTCTTCAGTGCTCTTGAATTCTCAGCCTTGTATTCTTTGATCCTATTGATCAAGTAGGAAGAAAGGGAATGCCTTGCCATACTTTGACTTTTTCTTTGTTTGCCCAACAGTGTATATATATTCTTTATGAACAGAGTTTTACCCTGCAGCAGTGTGAAGCTGCAGGGCATATTCCTGTACACACTGGCACTGAGCAGCAGAACTGAAGCTGAGCACTCTCAAGTTTGTTTGATTAGGTGAATGAAGTAGTGGCACTGTTTCAAGTTTGGTTTTAATTCTCCTCTTCCCTCTCCACAGGAGAGTGGTATTGTCCCAACTGCAGGAAAGGGAGTTTCCCACCTGTAAGAGCTAGGAATCTTCTTCTTTCTGTGCTTCCTCCCTGCTGTAGAGTTCCTTGCATGTGCAGTGTTTATTTCATCATGATCAGAGAATAACATGATCACTTGCACAATTTTAGCAGTTAGTAGATGCAAAATAGATTATGTAGCGTGTTGTGTGGAATTGGTCATCTTGGTTCACCTTACTTAAGAAATCTGGGGAAGTCCTTTATTGTAGTATCTTGCAAGAAATTCTTGCTTTCAGCTACTTGTGGCCTACTTCTGGTATTTGCATGTATGCACCTCCTGAGACCCGTGTAGGAATAGAAATTACTTCTAACACCTTTCTTGTTCTACTTACTTCTGTTAATCAAATTAAAAAAACGGCAAACAACAACTTCTGTTATTTTGTTTCTTGACACAGTATTCTAGGGAGCCTCAGTAGCAGTTTATTCTGTATTCTTACTAACAGATTCAATGAGGCTGGCTCCTTTCTTGTTGGCTTGATTGACTTCTCTATTCCCGTATCTTTTTGCATTTTAACATATCAGGATCTCCTTCTACTGAAAAAGTATGTACTGGAATCAGGGCTGCAGGGTAGGAACAAAGGAGACTTTAGTATTTTGCTTGTGACTTTCATAAAATAAAATACATAAACCATCTCCATTAGAATGTCTGGATTGATGAAGGGAAGGAAAGAAAAAAGGAAAGACTTTTCCTCCAGCAGTGGCTTGATTAATGGGTTTATTGTTTGTACAGTTTGTCAGGAAGCCATATGGCTTGAGGAAAACAAAGAGGAAGTGGCTGATGTTGGGAATCTGATTTAATAGGGGTCCCTAAGGACAGAATGTGGCTCTTATCCTTATTCCTTCCCACTCAGTTTGCAAAGTGGTCTGAGAAGAGCTTTACTGCTTCAATAGAGCTAAAGAGAATGTGTCTTTGTCTGAGTGGACCCTGCTGCTGGACCAGCATCACAGCTACTCCATCCTAAGGTTAAAAATCCACTATTCTTTGCCTGTTGTGTAAAGCATTCTGGAGTAGTAACAAGGAGCAGTAATGGTGTACTTACTTGTATCTGGCAGTTGATTGGTTTCCAATAGATAAAGACAACTTTAGCATCTTGAAGCTGAGCTCTTGTAGTTTGGGGTGAGATATTCTCTCCTCACTGCCTCTCCCTCCCCCAGCAAAATTCAAGCATATATGTCTCTGGATTAGCTGAGTCACCGTCTGTATTCTACAACCAGACTTATTTTCTTAATCTAACGTGTATGTGGGTATTGATAAGTAACTGGAGTTCAAGCACTGTTGATTTAACCTGACATGGTGGATTAAAGAAATGGCCAGCATTTTCTAAGACCGTTTGACTCTAGTATGCGGTGAATACACCCAAGCAGAAAATCTAAAGAAATATTCTATAATGTAGCTGCAAGCAAATACATTAAGAATGCTTAACAAGCACTTTTTCCTTGTATGAAATCACAGCTTCTCAGCTGAGAGGCATAAATTCACCGAAAACTGGTTATGGTAATTTCAGAGTTAAAATAAAAGGCTCATGTGAACCACTAGTAATTGTTAGTAGGTCCACAGAGTGCAAAGCACAAAACGTAACACAAAAACATATTCTGATGCCTCAGGAATTTAATGAGTATTCGTTTGTGAGTGGCAGCCACATATTCAGCCTGTGGTGGGGAAAATTATTTGATACGTACCTGAGTTCTCTGGAGATCCTGAATATCCCATTTTTGAGAAGTAATTCATATAGGGCTTTGATGCACAGTGTGTGTGGTGTAGTATTTTACAACAGGCAAGTCCTTTCTTTTCCAATCTTTAAGATGTTTTTTGTTGTTTTCCAGACTCTTAAAACATGCTTATGACAGAGTTGGTGCATATTGGATCTTTTCCTATAGTTCTGACAAGTACTAGGAGAAAAACAGTTTGTCTTGTGCAAAATTCAGTGGCTGATAGCAGTGGAAGAGGAGATGCTGAAAGACCAGAGGAAAGATTTTTCCTAATTTAGTTCTACTCTTCTATGCTTCTGTCAAAGTGAAAAGTTCCCATTTAGTGTTACACTTTCAGATACGTTCCTTTAAAATATAATTCAGAAAGCATTTGGTGGTGAAGGTTTAAAAATAACCACTTCTCACATGTTGTTCCTGGCTTTGACATAGTACTAGGCACTGTTTGTAAATCTGTCACAATGATGCTGTTAAATATCACTGTAGTAAGCATCCCTTCCAAGCTGATTAATATTAGTCTTAATCAGCAGTTTGGGATTTGTTACCCTTTGCCTAGTTTGTTTGACTTCATGTGCATGCGTTGGCCATGATTCATTGCAGCAAGGGAGTCAGGGTATGCAGTTTGAGAGCTCTTGGAGGTTTCTATGTCTGGAATGCCTCCAGTTTGAGGATTATTTTCCTTAAAAAGAAAATTAGGGAAGAAGATTATTTCACAGTCTCCTGTATTTACAATTTAGCAGTGATAGATGCTTGTGATTACCTAATACAGTGCTTAGGTTTTTTCTGATGTTCTGGAAAGCTGTTGAAATGTTGTTTACCCCACTTAGTTATTTATAGTAGGAAAGTCACACCAGGTATAAGAGATAGCAAATTAAGTGCAGTATCCTAGATTGCTTTTGAACCCACTTTTAACAAATAAAATACTGTTTCTATATAACAGGCTATTATATATCTAAACCTGTAGGTGCTAGGTGAACACTGTATTTTCCGAAGCATTAAAGGGAGGAGGAGGATAGGGCTTTCTTTACCCTCAAGAAGGCAGTTTTAGTAATGTGTAGTGATGTTTCAATTTTTTCTTCTAGCAGCTGAGCTTCTCAGCAGCAGTGACACCTATGCCTGGAGTGGGAGATTGCGCTAAGCAGACATCTCTGTCCATCTGCAGGTAAGAAGTTATTACCAGAAAACTTCAAATAAGAGTTTTTCTTCTTCCTTCTGAAAGTAGTTGCACATAAAGCATGCCATGAGCTCTAAAGCTTAAATAACTTCATAAATACATACTCATTACTCCCCTAACCTGTCTCTGGGGAGTGTGCCCTGAATGAGAGGAGACTCTTGACCCTGGCTTCTCTAATTTTCAGGTCTTCTTGGGCAGCAGCTCTCAGTGCCAGCAACAGCTGCCATGTAACTTGTAGGTTAGACAATCAGCACATGGGTTTGGGGATTCCAGGCTGCAGCTGTACCGTAGATGTGCTTGGAGCAGAGGGCCCCAATCCCTTTTGGTTCCATAGAGTTCCTTGCTTCATCTGGGGAGAGGGACATTTTCTTCCCCCTTCAGATAAAGTTCTGCAGAAGTACTGTGACTGTTTAAAACACCCCCACCCCAAGCAACCCTGCAATCCAGCTGTTTTATGTTTTTAATGTGAGCATTCACTTGAAACACAGTGCTGGATATAAGGTAGTCTGATAGCTCAGCGAGTCAGACATTGCCAAAAATTCAGACGAGATGTCAGGGAATGAAAATAGTAGCAGGTAATATTTTTCTTGACAAAGTGATTATTTTCTTATACAGAAGAATTATCAGAACTTAGAATTCAATGCTATAAAAATATATAGTATCAGATTATGCAGTGGTATTACTTTCCATATTGCTTTGATTTCTTTTCTTTTTATGATTATTTTTTTTTTTCCACAAGTTCTCTGTTCTATGATGTAAATGAAACTGGTGAAGCTTGCCTGGCTTGTCCCTATTTACAGACCTTGCTTAATGCTATCTTGTCCTGTGTACATATGTCATCTTTTAAGTGGGTAGACTTCTCTACGAATCACACCTCCTTCTGTATTTTTGTCTAGAATACCATCTTAGAACTCCCTTCTATTGCAAACGCAGTATTTTTTAGTAGTGTTCTGTTGATAATTAAAGCAGGTAAGGGACCGATACAACTAAATAGAATAATATTCTCTGGTCATCTGCCAGAATGATAGCTTGTCTCATGTTCAAGTTCTGTGTGTCAGAAGTAAAGACAAGCATAAATAAATGTACAGTAGTTTGTTCTTATTACAGGAAAGGCTGAAGCACACTATCACTGGGGCGCATCCAGCCCTGTAAGGACAGGCAGTTAAGATTGCATGACTGAAAATATTTACTTTCATTGTCTTTAATAAGGTGTAGAATGTTAATTGATAGAAATATATATGCATATATAGAATGCAGTCTGTAGGCTATATAGGAGCTTTGCTGAAGTGTAGCATGTGTGTGAATGCATAGATATATATGTACAGCATTAAAAATGCTGTGTTGCCTTGGAGTCTAGCTTTAGAGGCTAACACTGCCTTAAATTGTCTTGTATTTGGGAGGTCTTTTGGTTATTCATTAAAGTACTTTCAGTCTTGCATTCTAGGTGTGTTATCTATGTGTTTCATATAAATCAGTTTATCATTTCTAAAGCAGGCACTTACAGAGTATTAATTGCTGACCACAACCAACAACATATTCCTGCTAAAGAATACGAAGAGTCTATATGGTACAGTAGTACCAGCAATGAAGATAATCCTGTTGACTTAAACAGCATGCAGAATTTGTAAGGACACTGGTCTCTGTATTTTTCACAGGATGGTGCTTGCCTAGGGGGAGTGTTACTTACCGTCACTTGTATTGAGTAAACCAAGGTTTTCTTTATGAGCATCGCTAATCTAATTTGCTATTGTGTAACTTCTTTTTGCTGTCTATTTTGGGGCATAAAACAAAGGATCAGCCTGTAGTATGTGGTTTATTAAAACACTTTTGCCCAGCTGAAATAATTCAAAAGAATCCAGTTATATTCATTGCCAATCAATAAATAAAATCACAAAGAAAAACACTATTATACCCATACATAAATCTGTGGTACCCACGTGTTTTGGATTGGCTTTGCAGTTTGGTTCCTTTATCTCAAAGACAAGGCAGGAGAACTGAAAAATGCTTAGAGGAGGGTAGTGAGAATAATGAGAGATGTGAGCAATTCAGCAACCTAGGACTTTTCAGCGCAAAAGAAAAACATCTCAATATAGGAGGGAAGCCTACAAAATGATGAACAAGATGAAAGCAGGACGTACCTCTATTCACTCTGACAACACAAGAACCAGTGGACATCAAATGAAGCTGTAACAGAAAACTAGTTCAGAGCAAACAAAAGGCAGGTAATGCTTCATAATGCAAGATTTAGATCTGTGGAATTCCATGCCAGAAAGCTGGAAAGACTAAGAAGTGGAAGAGAGATCCTGTTGAGGCTAATGAATGTAAGTCATGCCTGTGAATACTGGGGTTGGAACCAGACGAAAGCTCACACGCCTTTCAGGAGATCCTTGCAGTCTTTTTTGTCTTTCCCTCAGCATTTGCTGTGACACCTTGTTCTCTAAAATTCTTAACCCATGAAAATAAAATGTCTAACGTTTCTCATCTTCTAGCTTACTGAGGCAAGGTCTCAGTCTTTTCCACAACAGCGTCAGCCAGGGTTTCATGTGCTGCTCCATGTTCCTCCAAAGAGGCACTACTCTTCTCACTTAGGCTGTTTCTTCATGGAAGTCATGTGGGAGAGCTCCTCCATTTCTTGTGCTGAGACTTCATAGTGGTGGAAACTGTTTCTATAAGAATGCCATAGTCACAGTTGTAATTGCTTTTGAACTTTTCACTAGCAAAGGTGAGCTGCTGCTAGTCAGAATAAATGTGCATGGTATGACCAGATGGTGAAGAATCTGTCACCCCCAAGGGGAATGGGTTTTCCCTCAGCAGCTTGAAAAATCTACCGTATAAAGTCAGTATTAGTGATGAATAGATGGACTTACAGGGCTGGGTAGACGTTTGGCCTTGGTTCAGGATGCTGCCTGTTAGGATCTTCTGGTGTTGTCGATTCTCTGGAGTTGTCTGTACAGCTTTGGAAAGTAGTAGTTCAGGACACATTGAGGGGTTTTTTTGTGAACCATAGGTAGTCCAGAATCCTTATACTTTTCCATAAAACTTTCAGCTGATAAATCAGCATTTCAGTCATGTCTCTATTTGATTTCAAAACAGAGGAGTGACTTCCTTTGAGAAGTTTTTTCTTATTATACTCCTTAAACTTTACATATGAAAAGTGAACAAAAATAGACCTGCTTGAGAATTTTAAGAAAAATTCTTAGACTTTTTTCTTTGTTCAGTGTGGATCTAATGGCTTTCTAAAGCAATTTAACTTGCATGAAGTCTTAAATACAGTCGACAAAATGTTTGTTCTGAGAGACAATTCTGAAGCTTTCACTAGTAGCAGTTTTGTTTTTTTTTTTTGGAGCAGTGATACTGTGTTGTCTAGGAAGTTTAAAAAGCAAGAAAACTAACTTTGTTGGTATTTCATCATAAAGACTTTATTTGTATCCTGCAGCTGTGAGTAACTGCTGAAGTGTTTTGTGGCCTGTGTTCTTCATGATGGATTTGTCTTTTTGACCTTCTGGAGCTGGAGAGATACTTCTGCTCCTGGATGGACTAAAAAAACACGAGTATGCTCCCTTCCAGAGCCATATTTTTGCCATGTAAGCAGGGTGGAATTTGTTTTTGTCAGAATGTCCCAGGTCATGAATTGAAAAAATACCTCATTCATAGATCTCACAATTCTCCCCTGTCATCTTTGCTGGTAGTATCTTGAGGAATAAATGAAGAGATGGGACAAGTTCCTGGGTGCTTTCTGAAATGATCTGTAGTTAAGGGAGAGTTTTTCTCTGACACACCAGGAAGCTCTGATAGAAATAATCTCAAAGGAAACATGCTTTTTTTCTCACATTTTCATTGCTTCTCTTGCATATTTCAACTTTGTGTGTATACACCTTTCTCATACTGTTTTTTGCCTGTGTCGGTACAAGAAAAAAAACAGATTGCTTTGACAGGGTTATCACTGGGACTCTTGAATTTTCCTGCATTCTTTGGATCACAAGAAATACTTTTCATCTATTCTGTTTCTGTGTTCCCTGCTCCAGAGCTGAACACTGCACAATGTACCTCTTGTTCCCTTGCTATCTGTGCTACAGCTCTTTAATGACCTTGCACTTGTTCAGACTGGTGGGATAGCATAGCTGAAGTTGAAGTTACCATGATGTGTGCATCTGTTTATTTCCTTTTCCTCACTTGTTCACATTTTTATTACATGTAGCTTCTTGCTTTCTCATGTAAGGCTTCTTTTCCTACCACCTTTTATTGTTCTGTGTAAATCTGTCCTTGCATAAAACTCAGATCTTGTATCAGATCTAAATGGTTTGTTTACATTTGTAGCACCAGTACTTCAAGTTTCTGGAATGCATTTTAAAGTTGGAGACTATGACTCTCTTTCTGAGGAAATACACTGGAAAGAAAATGTATTCTGTCAGTAGTTTTTCTGAATTAGGATTCGTTGTTCTCTTGCCAACCAAACTGAGAATGGAGTGTACATGGAGACAATATGTTTGGCAAGAAGGACAGAAGTATTGATAATAAATGATGGGAAGGGTGGTGTGTGGAAATGCCACTTAGATGAAGAGACAGGAAAGCTCAGCTGTCGTGCTTCAAAAATGTTTGATTCTTTCTTTACCACTTGAGTCATGCGTCCAAGCTATGTCCAAGCCCTGGGTGTTGCAGGCAAACTCTTTCATCCTTTTTTCATTAATTTATTGAGCTCTGGCAAGGTTTGCATCCACTCACTGCTCTGCTTGCTGGGTTGGCTTTTTCTGCACAACAGTGTAAAGAATGAGATCTTGTGTTTTCTGTGGACTTTAAATTTAAAGTTAACCTGGCTGACCTTTTTGAGGTCATAGTTTGGTTTTTTTTAATTAATTTATTGAGCATGAGGGAATTCTGCAATATCCTAATCTTTGTAATAGCAAGATGTAGACCTGCCCTGATGAGTGTTTGATAATACACAGTCATTAACCATTTGAGAGAAAAAAATATGTGCG